AGAAAAATATTTTGCCAACCAGATTTCTAAAAAATGGGCAAAAATGCATATTCCCCTCAAAATTATTGAATTGAAGAAAATTCTCACCAAAAAAATTTGAACCTAAATATTAACAAGAAGAGTAGTGATATAGAGATAGCTTTTTTGTATAGTTTTTTTTACATAATTTTTACATATAATTAAATAAATAGATACAGTCAATATTATAGGTTCCAAATAATTTTTTTTTAAAAAAAAACTAGTCATTGAAATAATACATAAAATTATACTAAATATATATATATATATATATATATATAAAGGTTATAAAATATTATGTTTAAATCATTTTCTTAAAGAGAATTAAAAAGGGAAAAAGGCGCTCGTTAAAACGACCTTTAAGATTGGAGAAAAAGGGGAAAATCTAGGGTTTCCACAAAAGCATGGAGAAAAAGGGGAAATTTATGGTCAGAGATCTTCAAAGCAGGAGCATTTCTCACGCTATGAGAGATTTCCCAGGAAGCAAAAGGGTTGTTATCGATCTCCAAAGACTAAAATAAACCCGAGGAGAAATTTGTTTTCAATAAATCTATGTTTTTCATTTAAAAAAATCTTTTCACCTTTTTCCAATAACCTAGGAAAAAATTCTTTTTAAAAATTAGCTACAAAATGAATGTCGTCTTTTTCTTCTTTTTTATTTTTTAATTTTTAATTTTTAATTTTTTTCTCCATCTAACAAGATCGCCAGTTTACCCTATGAAAAACAACTCACCCAAAACAGAGCAAAACAAAGGTTCGACTTTGAGCTGCAGAATTACAGGCGAAATTTCTTATTAAAGAAGGAGAAGGAAAAAAAACATGGGGCTAATTAGCGAGCTAACTACTCAAGGTTTTGAGGGAAATGGCGTTGATAATAACAAACTGTCTCATGACAACACTGGATCTATGGAAATTGGCTTTGGGATTAGGTATCCATTTGTTCAATTGCAAAGTATATATAAAGTAAGAAACAATAACATAAATAGTTGCTAAAATCTTGACTTATAGGGTGCGAGTTAGAGCAAGGGAGGGCACCACCATAGAAAGCACTATCGACCGATCCGCTGCAGCACTACCAAAAACGATGGATTTTCAGCATTGAGGGGAAGAGACCGACCTGTGTTTTTAGGCCGAAGATTCTGAGTCCTTTCCCTTGCGATTTTCAGAAGTTAGGGGAAAGGAAGGCATATGAACATATCAAAGTAAATAAGATGGGTCAACCAGTCAAGCAGTCTCCGCGTGATTGGGATTTTTTAATTGCTGCTGAATGTGCATGGTCCCCAGAACAACAACATGTACATTATTATTCCAAGTAAACATAAATTAACATTTTTTCTTTTGAACAAGGGCAATTTGGGGGTAAGGGGGGATTGAACCCAGCTCAATGCGCTCGGAGGCGTACCTTTAAACTAATCCAGCTAAAGGCGAGGTGCATAAACATGAACTAACTTCAGCACTACATTTCGAGGATATTCAAGAAAAAGAAAGGGAGAATATTCAAAAATCTAGCTAATGTCTGGGAAGTGTGGGCAAACAAACAAAGGCAGGCAAATAAAGGCACCTAATTTACTTTGGGTGGTGCGAGAGTAAGATCTAAATTCAAAACAACCCTTGGATTGAAGTTTTCCGCCTCAGTTCCAAACAATCCCATTGTAGGCGCCTGATTTCCTTCCCAAGCCACCACAGGTGGTGCCAGAGTCAGGTTTAGGTTCAGATGAAATTCATCTGCACTGGTTTGATTGAGAATTGGGTCCAAATTGGTTGTTTTAGTATCATCGTGGTGGGTTTGATGGGCAATTTGCTGCTGCACGCCAGTGCTCTTGAGTTCCTCTTCTACCGGCAAGGGAAGTGTACCAGCAAACATTGGTGTTTGCAGTCCCTTATCCAGTGTCAACCCTAAATTCATGTCATTTGGCTTCAAACTAAGCTCTTCAGCCTTCTGAGCAATTGGCGGAATAGTTGCAGGGGCTAGTTGCGTCTCTTGTTTGATGGCAAGGATCTTAGTTGCAACGATCTCCACATTGACATTACTGTCTGCAACTCCCACATTGACATTACTGAGCGGAAATATTGGCACCTGCTGCTCTTCAAGGTCACGATACAGAGCAGAAAGTGGCTTGCTCCCTCTCTCGATCTCAATCCGATACCAGATTCCTGCTTCGTCTTCGTCCCTAAAGACTGTGACTACATCACCGACCTCCAGCTGATTTTTGCGGACAAAGGGTATCCAACCCTTGGAGATTACAGGTTTTTTGTGGCCGTGTGTACGAGTGGATATGACCATAGGCCAAATGATGGGGCCTTGCCAAAAGTTCACAGGCACCAAATGATGACCATTAAATTGTGGGAACAAGTGTAATGTCTGTGCTGGGATGGCAAACCTTTTGAGCCTGTCAGTGCGTTTCAGTGGTTTTCTTACGACAAGGGTGGACAGAGACATGATGGACTTGACTAGGATTGGTGCAATTAATGAAACTGAAAACAAGCTTAAGTAGATCGAAACAATGTATTGAAATGGGTATGTGCCCAGGGTTTATTTTCAGGAACAAAGTGCCCTAGCCATTTATAAGCCAAAACTGAGGTCAAAATATCAGCAATTTAAAGAAGTTAACTTTTGAAGATGTTGTTAGTGGGGAAGATACAGATATGATCATGTCTTGGATGGACAAGGCTGATACAACCATGACGGACTTGGCTAAGATAAATTGTTGGAATGATAAAGAATGATATATAGACTTGACTAAAAGAGGTATGGACCTTAGCCTATCTATGATAAAGACATGATACATAGACTTGACTAATTGAGACATGGATTTAACTTAGATCATCAGTGGAGCTAGTGGGGTTTGAGGCCCAGGTCCCCCCTAACTTTCTTTTGAAAATTTAGAAGTTTAGTCCCTAATTTTATTTTATTATTTTATCTTAAATAATTTTACTATCATTTTACTTTTTTTTTATTATTGAATATTACTTTTAAGTGATAATAAAAAAGATGAGGAAAATATAGATAATAAAAAATAAAAAATATATATTAATTAAATAAAAAATTATTTAGTAACATTCTTCAACATTTCATCATTACTCTCACTTTTTGAGAAGAAAAACTTAGAATTTAATAAGAAAATATTGAGTGGTCCATCACATATGTTGACATTACATTATAATTAAAAAATTAATTTAATAGTTATATGAGTTTTACATATTTAAACTACTTTTGACATTTTTTTTTTTTTTTTTTGATATAGGACTCTAATTTTTCAGATTCACAAAAGAACAACATGTTTCAACACAATCCTCCATGGATTTTGACTCATGCATGGATTGATTTAGAAAGCAATCTCTACATTAATTCAAAGCGGATCTTTGGTGGGGTACCAAGAATATGTACCCACTTTCCCTTACTCTCTCCTGCCCTAACCATCAAATTTGCTTTCGAAATCGATCTTTTTTGCTTAATCTTGATTACATGCTTTTGTTTTAAGTCAAACAACCAATAGAAAAAGTAAGAATCCTAAAGAAACCAAGGAAAAGAGTCTCTTCGTAAGATCACACCCTCCATTGGTCTCAAATGAAAACTCTAAAGTTATGTCTTTTTTCTCTTTAGTCCTTTTCCCATTTGCCAATTTGATTCAACTTTAGAAACCTTTTCCAAGAAAAGCTTCTTGGGTATCAAATATTTTCATTGCTTAGCCGGTTATTGTGGCTTGCAAGTACTCATCATGACTTCGAATGTGAAATTGATTCTAGCACAGACCACTATTTTTATTTTAGAACTCAAACGCAACTATACCGCAACATATGTGCGGATGTGCTGTGTCTTTTGTCGTTTTCTGATTTTGTCTCTGTTAAGAAAACTACTAATTAAGATAAGGCAAAAAACGCAAATCAGCTTTTGTACGCTTTATCGGTGCTAAATCAATTCTTTAACTAAAAGCAGAAGTACATGCCCCTGAAGCTCTCCTCGGATGGTAGTATTTGACCCTCTAAGCTACTTTCTTCCAAACCGCCTGAGTGTAAAAAAAAAAAAAAAAAAAAAAAAAAATATCCCTGCAGTGAAAATAAACCTACATGTTTACATAAATTGATAAGGAATTAATAAGAGATTAGTTGAATTGGTACTTAATAATTTAGAAGTATAAATTTAGAATATTCATTAACTTAAAAGTCTAAATTTAAATTCAAAAGTTTAAATCTTTTATATCAAACAACCAATTCTCTAATGTAAAAGTATAAATAAATAAGCTAACATGGAAGAAGATAATGTCCCAATTAGAAAAGTGGATAAACACGGCTAAATCCCTATTCGTCAGCACATTACTCTATTTTGATTTCGTAATTATGGATTTTGATTAACTCTAATTTTTTTTGTTTGTGCTTCTTAATTTATGAAGCCACGGCTGGTTACTCATGGTAATGTTTGTGTGGGGAAAATTTTGTTAGAAATGAGTAGAGCACAAAATAGAAAATTAAAGAAAGCATTTCAGCTTATGCTTAGACGACCAAAAAAAAAAAGAGGAAGAGAAAAAGAAAAAGCAGTAATGACTAATGAGAACAAACCTAAAAGAACCAAGTACATGCAAGAGAAATACTAATTAATGGAAGGGAGAGTGCATGTGCACTCGGACCTACCTGTTGAGTGCACATAACCCTTCTCTTAACCATACTCAACTCCAACACAAGACAATAACAAATAATAATATATTTAATAAGCAAATAACTACTGAATCAAAGAGAGGATCAGGAAAGTTTAGGTTGTGATAAACACGTTAAACTGCTATTTTCTTAGCTACTTCTTCCATCCATTATGAGTGAGGAGAATAAGTTTAAATCAAACTGGTGGTATATACCAAATATAGTATTGCATTAACCAACACTGACCTTTCCGC